ACTACTGAACGCACAACCACTAACCCACCGCTACGCACAACTACGCACTGATGATGTCACCTCGATTGGTGATGAAACGTTTGCAACCAAACTGCCCAGCTCAGCGAACAAGCCAACGACCATGACCGGACACTTTTTTAAGCATGTTTAAGGTACAAATGGCTTTTGAGCATCTTTAAAAAGCACGGGTAATCTACGGAAATAATTTTTGATGCCGTTTGTTCCGTTTTACCGTTTTTCGGTTACTTTATTCACTGATGACGGAGGGTGAGCTATCTTGTACGCATAGAGGAATCTTATCCTTACTACTCACAAGAAGATGCTTTTCAGCCTACACATTTAAGGACCAACTTGGTAACATTCACTACATTGCTCACAACTAAAAGGGAATCCATTCGTTTCAAACTGTTGAGCCAGACCGCTGCACAGTATTAAAAAACGTACTTTGTCGTACTGACTACGTCATTGTTCAGTCAAAATCGAACAGTACCAAGAAAACATGGGTGCTGGACAGCTATCTCTGATTTTCCAACGTGAACACGTAAGCTGGCTTTACCCTCACAGTAGGCATTATTATCACTTAGCAGATTTCCGGAACTGTTATCGGTGTGCAGAAGGACTGCGATAAAGACTCTTCCCACCAAACAGAGTTCTGAACCAGTAAAGAAGGAGGTGGTTAGGCGCTCTGGGGCGATGCCCTATTTTGAACGGCAACATTAAAAGAACTGCATTGCTAGACGGTACCCTATCACATGCGCATCAACCGACGGACAAAATAAAGGTGATTATGCAGAAAATGTCACCGAAAACATCAAAATCATAACTGAATGGAGGGTGGATAGATATTTAATGGCCAGAGCCATTTAAGTTCGTAAACCCAAGAAGCATTAACCCAATGGGATCGACAAGCTGAGATGTCGTTTAGGTGAGTGTCTGGCGAACCAAGAAACAGGGTTGTGGCGCACTACGGCATCATTGTTCCGGTCCATCAGACCTAACTCAGCTAAATCATATTAGGACATACGTACTTTTCCTTTCCTTTTAAGCTTGCATCAAGCTTTTCTAAATGATAGTTCGTCGTTATCGAAGGCGAGTTAATAAATGCAGTTTGAAGAGAAAACCTGTCCTTCAGATGTTTCAGTAGGCAGTGGTGACTTTTCATAATTCTAAACTGTACAACTTGAAAAGTACGCCCAAATACTCCGACTGGGTAAGAGAGGTCATGGTGCGCTGATTGCTGCTAAAGCTGAGCAACAAGAAGGTGCCAAATGTAGACGGATTTTACCTTTTGATCCTGCAGTGGTTCATATTACCTCCCATAGCAATCCTACCCAGCCTCTAAAATGAGAGGAAACAGAAATCAAACAACCACTAAAGGGACGGATCAATCCTCTCCCTGCCCCTACGTAAGCTTGAAGTGTGTGAACGAAAGGGTTTTATAACATTTGGACAAGCATCCAACCTGCTGAAAGTAATAGAAGGTTTGATCAGGTCAGTGCATGATGTGCAACCTAGGAAGAGCATTTTCATTGATTTCAGAAAGAATTTTAATGGAGCATGGCACTGAGCACCTCTGGGAATACTGTAAGTATGCCCAGAATGTGTATCACTACTTGAGTGACTGAGGACTACTATACGTTATGCGTACACGTCTTTATGTCTGCCATTTGCACAGTTAGCATTGGGGGCCTCACGGCCGGTAACTCTTCACTGTCCAGGTGAACACCCTACCGCACTAAATAACTGGCGCATGTCCATAGAACGTTGACGGTCTCAAAATTTCGCCAACTGTCACCAAAAGACTCTGTTGGATAGCACGACATGCCAAATATCCTGGGATAATGGCAGGTGTAGTCGGACGTTTTGTAAATGCTGTCAAGTGAGGTTATCTGTCCGCGGATGTAACAGAAGATCCCAGTCCCAGGAGCGCCGTACTGAATGCATCGGAAAAACTCTGATTTGGGGCACAGAAGAATTCCAAATAGCATACGAAGGGATACAACCCCAGTAACGTCGCAGGGATATATCACATTTTCTGGGCTTTCCATCAGCAAGTCTCGCTCTCGATGAGAGATGTAGTGCCGAACCTTTTGATGACGATCGTTTGACAGTTGCTGGAATACGTTGTCCAGGCAGGGAAACTGTGCTCCAAAGGAAACGTTAACAACTAAACACCGGGGATCCATGTGGAAGCTGTGCGTAGAATGTAGCAGCAGATTAAGTCTATTGGCATTCAATAGCCAATACAATGCAATTGTTGCCGTTCTGCCCACTTTATTCTATTGTCGAGAAGGCATCTGTCGGCAGATTCACCACTAAGCCGAACAAAGTCTACTCCCACGCGTAAGTTGTAGAATCAGACTGTAGATTTGTGTTTTGTCGTTTCATCAGAGAAACTGTGGAAACAGAAAAGCTCCACACCTGATTCCCTCCCTTAATCCAGCACGTCGCTTGTCCATCTAGGATCATGATCGATACACAGTTCAGGCCAATTTCGTTCGTTTTCTGTTATCCTCATTTAGACTGAATCTATACCTGAAAGCATTCCTCAGTGTGACATGGACGGAAAATACTAAGTTTGTGCTATGTCTCGAGAAACCCGACAATGGATTTGCCCCAATTTCTACCAACGCAGATTGTAACCGCACTACTGACGGAATTCAAGTATGAAGAGTAAACGATCCTGCAGCTATCCAAATATATGCGGCGCTGGTGGGTTGCGCCAGCTATGAAAGTGTTTGAGGTGTCTATCATAATGTCGTTTCATCAGAGAAACTGTGGAAACAGAAAAGCTCCACACCTGATTCCCTCCCTTAATCCAGCACGTCGCTTGTCCATCTAGGATCATGATCGATACACAGTTCAGGCGAGACAATTTCGTTTTCTGTTATCCTCATTTAGACTGAATCTATACCTGAAAGCATTCCTCAGTGTGACATGGACGGAAAATACTAAGTTTGTGCTATGTCTCGAGAAACCCGACAATGGATTTGCCCCAATTTCTACCAACGCAGATTGTAACCGCACTACTGACGGAATTCAAGTATGAAGAGTAAACGATCCTGCAGCTATCCAAATATATGCGGCGCTGGTGGGTTGCGCCAGCTATGAAAGTGTTTGAGGTGTCTATCATAAAACGTGTATTGATTCATAATTTACCCAAAGTCTATACATGTATCACTCAGCAGAACCACTACTTAAATAAGCAGACTGCATCTGTTGGACTATTGGAACCCAGTGTATACGTTCATTGTTAGTCTCTTTGTTTTCTCCAAATTTGCGAAGTCTATAGTAAGTTGGGGAAGATTTCGCCACCCAGTTTCTATCTACCCTCTGGCACAAAAGGCATACACCGTTTGCTGACGGTAGACGTAGTAGTGATGAACCAATTCATCGTTGTTCCGACAAGCTAGCTCCCACGTCGGTCCGGGTGAACAACACCAGATGGAGCAAATCGATATCTTCGGACTCGTCGTGATGGTTAATTCCTGAAAGAACAGCACGATACAGCTTTCCACTAAAGTTTATCTAAACAGCACACGAGAGAGCCCATGGGCCCCGTGTGTGGGTATTGTGGTAAGGGCCATGAATCGAAATCTTGCTTGACAGGTAACCATCGAATCCACGTCCTTGGAAGTTTTGGCATAAACTTTGTCACCCAGTTGATCTATGCTAATTGATTCTCCTAATAAAACCAAGGCTGGCGCGGGCCGGAACCTTCGGCACATAAACTCATTCAGCATAATGCAAGAAGTTTGGTCAAGTGAAGAATCCCAATACCCACGAGTTTTGTCGGGTGTCACAGTCACTCTTGAGCTTGCCTGACAAGTTAGTTCCGGCTTGTTTTATGCAGATCGCCCCGTTGGCTTAAAGTTCCACTTCCAATTTCGCTTCCAAGTGCACGAATATTTATCCGGC